ATCTGCTGCCTGGACTGTACAATCTCTCATTTAAGTTACATCTGGAACACTGTCTGCCATCATGGGAACAAGATTTTACAACTCCAGAAAATTCATGCCTGCGGGGCTGATTGCTGGCGTCAGGTACAACACAATATACTTTTTTTTTTAACCTCTTGTGTGTGATTTCTTAATTAAACTGAAATGGAATGAGTCATATTTTATGTATCTTTTTTGTTCCTGTGCACCAGTTACATGGGAAGTATTTGAAAATGTATTAACAGATTGTTGTTATTGTTGTTTAATTATGTGTTTTTCCTCCTTATGCAGTTTGCTAATGGTTGGAAGATTAGCACTGAAGATGTTAGAAAAGCCCCAGGATAAGTAGCTGTTCATTTTACAGCCTAATATTTGGATAAGGAAACCTGATAATGATGTTGCATAAATTCAGAAGCAAGAAGATGGAACAATTTTCTATATCAAGACATTTTTTCCCCTTTTTTACATAAAAGGGAGTAGAATGATGGGACAGATAGTTTATAAACATTTGTTTATATACATTTGTTTCAATGATCAGGTAGACCTATTTGTGTATAGAGAGAAATGGGTCCTGGGTTTGATTTTTCCAGATGTGAATCAGTGTATTTTAACACTTCCAATTTTTATATTTCAAAATATTCTGCTGACATATATGAAGCAGAGCGAACCTGTAATTAAGAAAATAACCACAAAGAGGCACCAGGAGTAATTTGCTAAATACAACAGTGTATCTCAAACCTTTTGTACTTAGTATTACAGCATGCTTTACCTGTTGCATTCTGAGTTGATACACCACGTCTGTATAACACCAAACAGATCTTACATTTTTATTGTGAAATGATGCTAAAATGTTGCTTTTCTACAAGTAAATTCTATTACAAACCTTTATTTGGTGTGTTTTTTTTATAATTTCTGTGTTTTGGGCATCGGGGGTATTTTTACTTTGTTTTCTTCTCAGTGGAAGTCTTTGCAGTGAACTGTTAGTATCCAAGCGCTGTCTTTCAAAATCGCTTTATAAATGTGGGGGCAAAAGATTAAATTAGGGGCCTTCATTAACATTTTAATGCATTTCATTTTGTAACCTCTCTTGTTTCCAGACACTTAATCTGTAAATAACCTGATTGTACAAGGTGAATCTGCAGGGAGAAACACTAAAAACATGTATAAGTGTGTCTGAAATTCTAGTCCCAGTTAAATCATAGTCTCTTTTGACTATGCTGTAAGCAAAACCCAACAGAAGTTTTGTAATTACATTTTTACGTTTCTAAATCTCCCCATGTAATTGAATAGAAAATTCCATCCCTCATACAGAATTTTCTAGAGCCATTCAAGAACTAAAGACATTAGTATCCTTTCTCCAGAGTGCTCATGCTTTTAGACTGATTGTTAGCTAATTCTAAAAGTTTTCTTTCCTATTTTTATTGTGTAGGTTTCGGTGTTTTGGTTTTTGGTTTTTCTCCACTGAGAGTTGTCTCTATCTAAATTGAGATAATTACTTTTGCATTAAATTCACTGTGGCTATGCCATGACTTCAGTGGAACTTCATGCTGTGAGTCAGCTTTTATATGGATGTAAATTTTGGAAAATGATTTAGTTATTTTTAGGAAATCAGTTGTTAATTCTTAAATTAAGGCTACTCTGTTTAAAGCACACTCTGAAAATAAAAATGTTCCTTTAATATTTCTTACAATATCAGCTATCAGCACAAGCTTAAATGAGTACAGATTTTTCAACAAGGTTCAGTAACAGGAAACTGGTTGTACAATACACAGACTGGGTGACCAGAATTCAACAACTGGGAGTTTAATCATGCCTCCAGAACTTAAATACATTATAGAAATGTGAGAAGAAGAGAGTTATGGTTATAAAATCCTCATTTCCCAGGTGGAAGAGCCAGGCCCTCTATTGCACATCTACATGCCAGGTAGAAGTTTGGGTGGCAGGAGGAAATGTTAGGTATTTCACCCCTCTCTTGAGGGGCTCACTCAGGACTAGAGGAGGGAATTCCCTATTTGCTTTGGTAGGTAAATGATCTCTTGAAATTAGGAGTTTGCCTTAAACTTTGTAAGGGGGGGTGTATAAGGCTGTTTTTGTAATAGCAAGTCCTTAAGTCCTGGAAAGTGAGAGATGTTGCACTACCTTCACCTCCTGCTCTGGAGAGATTCAAGTTCCCTTCCCAGGATCGGGCTCTTTGCTTCAGGCACGGGATGTCCCATATGGAGAATATTACCTGGGGAAGCCACACCACAGGTGAGAAAAGACCGCAAAGTTCTTGGGACCTCTGGCAAAAGAAGCAATTATTTTTTTTAAGTCTTCTTTTAAAGCTAAATAGTAACTGGTAAAAATACAGAAACGTCCTGAGGCTGAGAGATGGAACTCAGATTCCTCTCTGCCCAGGTGGAAAATCCAGTGGGACCACCTAAATTTTGCCTATGCTATGTTTACTTCTGGCTAACCCTAAGTTCTCTGCCATTCAGGAACCTGTGGCCTTCCAACTGCTGACACTGGGGCAGCGTCAGGCACGTATGGGCTTGGAATGTTGCAAAATAACACAGTTAGTGGAAAGCTGAGCAAATATGTTAGAGTGAGCCAAAATCTGGGACACTTGAGTGCCTCAAACGTGCCTTAGTCTTTACAGGTATAACACTGAGACCTCTAACCCAGCAATAATGTACTGAGGCTGAATTGCATCACTGAGTTGAGGGGAGGAAAAACAGACTTTTTACTCACCCATTGGTAGATGTCACACCCTAAGCTGTTCTTCCAATTAATGTGACATTTGCAGGTAGCAAAATCTCTTTAATTTAGTACAGATCTGTACTATAGTGTAAGAATGTAAGTAATGTTACACTAGTAGTGCAGACAACTGACTTTTACAAACTAGTGAAGGAGAACGATAAAAGGATGGAAAATGTTTCAACTGAAACGGTTTAGAAAGGAAGTAGTCATGTGCTGTCCTACTTTATCCCTTGTTCTAAGAATATGGTATGAGGCTGTTTATAATGCAGAGCGAATCCCCTAACTCTTGTTCTGCTTCAGGCTTCGAAAGTGCAATTTGCCATGTCCCAGTTCTGTCAGTCATTGTGCTGGGAGCTGTTGGCACTTCGTCATCACAGGCTGAGGGTTGGTTCTGTGGTGAAACTAATATGGCCTGAAGTATTACACAATTATCCCTTTGTGGTGTTAAAATTGCTGGCTTCTTGGCATTATAGTTACGCTTTCTGACTGCACAGTTTAATCACCTGGAAAAATGGGAGGGGGAAAAAAGGTCAGGAGAACCTCCAGGCACTCATGACAGGAGGGAGAAAGTCTTTGTTCCTCAAGAATCCCTACAAGTAAAACTGGGAAAATGTTGTGTTTATAATGGCACAGAGGCTGCCTACATCTGTTTTCCTGCTTCCTTCAAATGCTGCCACGCTGGAACAGATCAAAGCGCTTATGGTTTTGTGCCCTGTCCCCAGCTCAGTCCAGTGCACAAGTGACTTTGGGTGTTCCCTTTAGTTTTTCTGTACTTCTCCTCTGAACTGTGAAATAGAGATAACGTTTTCTGTATCCCTTCCCTGTCTCTGTTTTACATTGCTGTCTTACACAGTGTGTGGCATAACATGTTCCCTGCCCCAGAAGCAAGAACTGGTGGTTGGAATTGATACTGTTTTATTGCTGATAGTTAATACAGTCTGTCCTTGTTTTAAGTTAATACTCTTTTAGAAAATACTTAATGAGAAAAAAAAGGGTACAACAAAAGTCTGATCCTGTTCTTTCATTTAATTAAATGTTAGCGTTTTCTAATATATTGCTATCATATTTGAGATCCTGTCCTGCAAGTACCATAACTAAGTGGAATTGAGTTTTAGTACTAATACTGGGAGGCATACTTAGAATATCCTGAGTTGGAAGTGAGCCATGAGGATCGAGTCCTACTCCTGACTCCACACAGGGCAACCTAAAAGTGAAAACATATATCTAAGAGCATTATCCAAATGCTTATTGAACTCCATAAGCTTTGGAACTATGACCGCTTCCCTGGGAGCTTGACTACCCCCATAGTGAAGATCACTGTCTTCCCCTCTCTTTTCCTTTTTTCCTCATCTTTTTCCTTCCTTTTTTTTTTTAATTTCTTATATTTTTTCCTTTTACTTTTTTCCTTTCTCTTTTTTTCTTTTTGTCCTTTTTCTTCTTCTTTTTCCTGTTTCTTTTTTTCCCTTTCTCTCTTTTGTTCCTTTTTTATTTCCCCCCCCCGCTTTTATCCTTCATTTCCCCTTTTTTCCTTTTTTCCCCTTTTTGTCCTTTTCGTTTTTTCCGTTGGTGTGGGTTTGGTTTTTTTCCCTCTTTCTTTCTTGGTTTCCTTCTCGTGTTTGTTTGGGTTTTTTTCCTTGTTTATTTTTTATTCAGTGGCTGCCTGTGCTGAGAATGCAGAGGTTTTGGAAGGCTCTCCGGCGTGGAGAGCCGAGAGAGGGCGGCAGCGGTGCTCCGATGCGGCTGCCGCTCCTCCCGGCCAGCTGTCAGCCGGGGGAGAAAGGCACCCCAGCCCGAGAGATGGAGACAAGGATAAACAATAATCAACCCGCTTCTAATTTAGGGTTTGTCCACTTGTAGTTATGTGACCTGGAACGCCAAATACTGGAACACAAATGCTCGGTTCTCTCAGCCGAAAAGGAGTGTCGCTTCTTTGCGCTGGCCTGAGGAATGAAAGGAAATGATCCTGAGGCAAAAGGCTTTTTTCACCGTGTGTTCTGTGCAATCCCTGGCTAGTGCTGCTAAGGATCTGATAATAATCGCGTGAAGAATGAAAAATAAAACCCTTTTACCACTCTTCTTACACCCCCTGGAGGAAATCACTTACCTGTATTGGAAGATCAGCCCAGTCTTTCTCACCTATTTACAGGAAGAAACAACAACAGCAGGTTGTCACCCTGACTCACAAGCAGAGGGGATTTGGCAGGACAGGCCTTCTTCTCTAAGCACTTTTAAGAAATACATAAACTTTATAGTTTTGTAAGCTGTTGAGGTGTATGTATAATGAGGGAGAGGATGTTGAATGCATTTCTTTAGAGGCAGTGCTCTTTCAGCAGTGGTATAACAATAGGAAATGGCTGGGATCAAATTATGTGCTGTTACCTGAAGGCATCCCATCAGTAGGAGAGTTATTGGATGCACTGAAATTCCTTCTGACCCCTCTGTTCCTCAATAAACCTGTGTGCAACTTCCTCTGGGGACGGGCCAAGTATTGCTCCATTAGTATGCAGCACCACAGTCAGCAGGGCAGAAAAATACACACCAGGAGGAGAGAAAATAGATGAAAAGCAGCAGGATCAAAGTAAACGCTTTTAAATTCTGTACTGAAATTTCCCTACGCTGAGGTTCCTGCTGGTCTGAGGTGTCGTGACAAGACCTAAAATATTCTGAGATGAGAGGAAGGTTGGTCCACTTACTCAAGTTCTATTTCTGTTAAAAATGAAGCCTAAACTAGGAGGTAGGGAAAATTTTTTGTAATGGGAGTGAGAACCCAAAAATCATGACAACAGACACAGAGTGACAGTCCTAAAATCATCTGAAAATATTCTAATCCATAAAGCTGTTGGGAGAATGGTCATTCTGGTTCTCTGTAGTTACATATCCCTGCTGTTTAACAGCATGCTAGATGCTCCACTCTTCATTGTTTGTCCTGTACTCAGCCAGATCTTCAGTTCCCAGACACTACCTCACCTGGCAGCCCTGCAGCATTTACATCAGCTTACGGCCTGTCGCCAGGTTTTCTCCTCCATATGCCACTATTGTCTCATCCCTGCCAAAAAAAAATAAGGACACTCTGTTCAACTTACTCCTATAAATATCATCTATATAAATTTATTTTTTATGTAAATTCATTTGTTTATGTGAAGGACA